ACTTTTTCAGCTGTTGACTGCTGTGTATTCGCACATTTGTGCATTTTGACTTATAATATTATCTGTTTTTCCCGAAACGATAGAGATATTATATAACAAGCACAAATGTGCAAAAGGTCAGCTACCAGCTGAATACATACAGCTAACAGCTGAATACAAGCAGCCAACAGCTGAAAAAGTGGGAGGACAGGTCCAAGGACCGCCTAAATAACCGACCCCAACAGGGTAAAACAAAGACCCCAACAGGGTAAAACACAAGCACAACTAACAAACTACACAGACCCCAATAGAGTAATGCCCAAGTGTCGGATCCCAACAGGATAATAATGTGACACTCGGGCAAACTGAGGCCAACGGCCCAGACCAAAAACACAAAGACCACACAACCTAAATAACCAACTAAAACACAGATCTACCAAACAAAACAAACAAAAACAACAAAACTAATCGAGCCCTTCCAAAGTAGCAACATCAAACCGAACCAGCGGAAACAAATATTTCTTGTTCATTATAGAAAGAAATCAAAATGATTAAAAAAATAATCATTGTTGCCAATAATATACAAATAAATTTTAAAGAATAGTTAATATGTTTTAATTTTAATGTTTTAACCATTAGTAAAACCATTTAATGTATCTGGTCATTAATTGGTAAATTATATTAAAACTATTTAATGTATCTGGTCATTAAATGGTCAATTTTAATTTTTGACATTAGTAAAATGATATGTTGTATACGACTTAGTAAATCCATTTTAAGTTTTTGATCATTATCTCCAAAATGGTAAATTATATATCAATTTGAAGAATAATTTAATTTTTTTTACATAACAAAATAAAGCTTAAGAAAAAATTATATTGGCAAAGATTAATTCACCAACTTGATTTCGCCTGATTAATTGGAAGAAAAAATTCTACCTAACGAACTAAAATTTGTCATAAATATTTTTAGATAAAAAGTAAATATTTTTGAAGAAAAAAAAAATTAATATTATGGTTAGAACTTAAAATATGTTGTGATATTTATTTTTACCAAAATATTATCAACATGAATCCCGAAAAATCAATCTTATAATTTATTATCGATATAAGTGAAATTATTGCAGATATTAATAAAATTATTTAAGGAAACAACATTTTTTTTATCATATCTGATTTGATCTTTTTTTATTTTTTTTTCGGCACGATAGAAGATGTATATTAAAACCAAACAAGGAACAAACATTCGAATACAATCCAAACCCAACGGGCTAATAACTCAACGTACTAAACTGAAAACTGAGAGGACGCGCAAACATGCGGCCTAGAAACAAATTGACCAACCAATACAAGAGAAAGATATCAGAACCACTGCAATTAAGCCTAGCCTGCTATCACCTCCCCCAACAGAAAACTAAAAAGCCAGCAGCACAAATAAAGGAAAATAAGGCAGAAACAACCAAAATAAGATATCTATCCTTTCACTTCTCTAAATTCCAGCCAAACCTGATGAGCATTCTTTATCACCAACTGGAATGGCATCTTGATATTCTCAAACAGCCACGCCACAACCACCATAAAAGGTAGGTTGTGAATTGAATTATGTCCTGAGCAACAGGAGATGACTTAATAGCACAAATGTGGAACCACCATGTTCTAAAGATACAACCTTCTGTGCACACACCATCCCAAGTCAAAAGGCTGTGATTTCACATCATCTGGGCTCTTGGGCAGTGGAAAAATGTGTGTTCCACCGTTTCTGGAGCTTCTCCACAATAGAAGCAAAGGACCTCAACATCAATCCCTCTTTTAACCAAGTTAGCATTGACAGAGAGAGAACCAGTCAAACATTTCCAGAGGAAATGTTTAAAGGTGCCCTTCACTTTTAAATTCCAAGTTCTGATTCTAGCTTTCCTGAGAAAAAGAAGGTTGCTGCTACTGCAAGGGATATCAAAACCAAGTCTTTTCTAATTAATCAAATAAGCATAAGTAAAAGATACAGAGAAATGACCTTTCTTCTCCAATCACCAGTAGACACTATCATTTTTGGAGGGATTTAGAGTTTTGATACTGAGGATAGCCTTGCTGTCTTTCTCATTGAATAAATTTCTCACCAACCAAGAGTTTCATCCCATTCCATTCTCCTGCAGGAGCTCTTTAACCCAAATAATGTGGCCTTGAGCTACTTCCAACATTACTGGTTTAGCAAGGGGCAGATCAGGTATCCAGTTTATGTCATTGATTTTAGTGGCAGCTCCATTATGAATCTTTGTTCTAAGGCCCTGAGCCAAAATAGAAAGACACTCTAACCAAGTGTTCCAAAGCCATGATCCATTCTGAGTTTTCGTAGCCTAAAAAATAGAGCACTCTGAATAATATCTATCTTTAAGTACTCTACTTACTAGTAGATCAGACTGAGAAACAAGCCTCCACAACTGTTTGCAGATAAGAGCTTGATTGAAAGAACTTACATCTTTGAAGCCTATACCTCCTTCAGCCTTTGGTAATGTAAGCAGCTTCCATGCTTTCCAGTGTATGCCTTTTTCTTGGGATTCTCCTTTACTCCACGAATATTTAGCACTGAGGCTAGCAATGGCTTTGCAGATGGATACTGGAAGTTTAAAGCAAGACATGGTGAAAACTGGTAGAGCATTTATCACAGCCTTCAAGAGAACTTCTTTACCAGGTATGGAGATCATCTTGTTCTTTCAATTCTAGAGTTTAGCTTTTAATGAAGCTATGACATAGGAAAAGACATCTATTCTGGATTTGCCAATTCCCAAGGGAAGACCTAAATATCTGGTAGAACTGTGTTGCTGAATCCCATTCATGGCTGTACAGATTCTCCTCTGAACATGAGAAGGTGTGCTTTTGCTGAAGAAAACAGAAGATTTCTGCAGGTTAACCCTTTGTCCAGTGAACAATCTATATCTTTCAAGCAATGTCATCAACACTTGTCCTTGAGAAACTTCAGCCTTACAAAAAAATAGGGCATCATCTGCAAAAAGCAGATGAGATAAAGTTGGGCCATTCCTTGATAGCTTAATACCAGTTAACTCTCCTCCATTCAGAGAATCAGTGGTGAGTGCTGATAAGAGTTCAGTGACAATAATAAAAAGATAGGGGGATAGAGGATCCTCCTGTCTGATTCCGCTGGAAGGATAAATGACACCAGTCAAAGAGCCATTCACTGTAAAGGAAAAGGAGGTAGTGGAGATACAGACCATCAGCAGCTTCACAAAAGACAAATTGAACCCCATTTGAATCATGATTTTCTCAATACAAACCCACTCAACCCTGTCAAAAGCTTTCATAAGATCTAGCTTTAAGGCCATGAATAAGTTCTTCCCTGTTTTATGTCTGTTGAGAAAATGAAATACCTTCTGAGCCAAGATCACATTGTCAAGAAGTTGTCTATCCTGTATAAATGCAGATTGACAGGCACTAATGCAGGATGACAAACAACATTTTAATCTGATGGCCAAAAGTTTAGAATGAACTTTGTACACTACGCTGCACAGGGATATAGGCCTATACTGGTTAAGAGCAGAGGGAGAGTGACATTTTGGGATAAGAGTGACAATGGTGTGATTCCAATATTGCAGTATCATACCAGAATTGAAAAAGCTTTGAATAGCATCAATCAAGTCTCTGTGAATTAGGCTCCAACAATGCTGATAGAAATAGGCTGTCATACCCTCTTCTCCTGGTGATTTGTCAGAATGAAGGCTAAATAAAGCATTCTTGATCTTATCATATGTGAAAGGAAGAAGGAGTTATTGGTTCATTTCTTCTGTTATGGACCGAGGAATAAGTTGCAGCTTAGATTCTCCTCCACATGAACCTTCTGAAGTGAACAGATTGGAGAAGTAACTTGAAATGTGCTGTTATATCTCCCTTTGGGTATTGCAGGTTCTGTTACTGTCTAGAGTTAATTTGGTAATTGCATTCAACCTGCTTCATTGAATAGTGTAGGCATGGTAGAACTCGGTATTAGCATCTCCCTCCCTGAGCCATTCTGATCTGGATTTTTTAGCCCAATATTTTTCTTCAAAAGCATAAGCTGCATCAAGGTCATTTTTTCACTGTGTCCCATTCTTCCCAATTCTCTTCTCTGCCTTCTGTTTTGAGATTATCAAGCTTACTTGACAGATTTGCAATTTTCTCCTGATTCTGAGATTTTAATTATGAACTCCAAATGAGAAGGGAAATTCTTGTTGTGTTTGCTTCACTTTTTCTTTCAGTCTGTAGAATGGAGTGCCTGTTTGAGGGATATTCCAGGCTGCCTGAACAACTTCTGTAAAGCCCTCCTTTTTGGTCCATCTTCTGTCAAAAGTGAATCTTTTCCAAAATTTTGATCCTGAGAGCCAGTGTCAAGAATGAGAAGGGAGTGATCTGAAGATGTTTTGACTACATTAAGTATCTTGGCCTGAGGATTAGCACTGTGCCAGTCAAAAGAAGCAAAACCCCTGTTAAGCTTCTCTTCCACAAATCCATCAGTCTCCATGTTGTTACCCCAGGTGAATTGGTACCCTTCCATAGTTATCTCTTCCATGTCCATATTAGAGATGAATCTGTTGAACCCATCAAAGCTGCTATTACTTCTAACTCTGCCTCCTTTCTTTTCCTCGTTGGAACAAATATCATTCCAATCTCCTATGAGAAACCACAAATCACCCTAGGATTGTTTATCTTCCTCTAGTTCTATTCTCTGAGCTTCTCTGACGTGCCTATCAGCATTCATATAAACAAATAAGCCCCAGCCTTGATCATTGTTCCCCAGTTTGTAGTGGACTGCAATGTAGAATTCTCTAGACATAATGTGTAAAATCTCCACCTCTTGATGCCAAAACAGAAGCAGTCCTCCATTGAGGCCTCTAAGGTGTACAATGAACTTTCTGTCTCCAAAACCCAGTTTCCTACCAGTAGATTTAACAAAAGCATTATTATTTTTAGTTTCTAACAAGAAAAAGAACCTTGGGTGGTGAGTCCTAAAAGACTCTTTGATTTGGGAAATTGTAGAAGGCCGACCCAGCCCTCTACAATTCCACACCGCAGCTAACATTGATGGGTTGGGTGCCATTTGAGGCTGGCATCCCCCACCTTGTCTTTAGTCACATTACTCTTTTTCCCTGCAGATTTATTATCAGCTTGTTCTTCCTCAGTCAGTCCCTCTACTATGACAAGGTCCCTGTCCCTTTTGGCTCCTGTTACTGGCTGTGAGGTAGGCTCTGGTTCATCTTACCTTTGGAGTCTGCCCACTCTAGAAGAAGATCTCTTCCATGTGCTACTCTTTACAACCATCAATTCCATGTTTTTCTCTGTGCTCTGGTTTGTGGCGGTAATAGGAGATAAGAAAGGTAAGGTAGCTTCAATTTCCATCAACCTGTCTGTTTTTGGATGTGGAAGGCTTGGAGAGATGATTTCCATTGGGAAGTTTGGCTGAGAAGTAGCTTGCTCTGATAAAGTCAACTGAGTTGTTGGCATGGGTTCCTGGTCCTCAGAGGTAGAAGCAACTGTATCTTGGAAATTAGCTTCATGAGAAAATTTGTTATTGAGGGTGATCTGTTGTCTTTCTGAATGTGTGGCAGATGGACTTGATGGTGGGTTGGAATTGGCTGTGTTTGGAGCCTATTCTGAGTTAGGAGATTTACTGGTGATTGAGGGGCTGGTCTGTTGCTATGGTGAAATTTCCTCAGCTTTAATCCACTCCCCATATTTACCATCTTTCTGCTTGTGGGTTCTGATATCTTCAAGTATTTTACTGCAGCTTTTATCTAAATTCCCAATAGCTCCACAGTTGTAACATAGGTTTACCAGCCGTTCATACTTGAAGCCAACTGTTACTATCTGATCTCCTAGCCTGATTTTAGTGCATCTAGGTAAAGCTTCATTAAGATTTATAGAAACCAGAAGCTTTAGAATTTTACCTCCATGAGGACTGGTATTTATAACTACTACATTCTTAACCTCCGGGAATACCGATCCAATTTTTAGCCCTAGTTCTGCACTCAGCCAATCAAGAGGAAGATTGATTACCTGAGCCCAAAGATTCAGAATATGAAAGCTTGAGTGAGAGCTATTCAGACCCTTTTTCCATTTCTTCAAGATCAAATATTGGTTGTCATAGATCCAATTTGTTGCACCGACAACCTTCTTCATGTCCTCTTTATTGTGGAAGATGAATTGAAAATAGTTTGGTTCCAGCTCTTTAATTTCCATTGGTTTCTGCAATTTCCAGATATTATTCATTGTGCGCTTAATCCCAATCCAGCTTGCCCGGTGGTCTCCGATTACTTTTCCGAAGAGACTACGGCTACATTCTTCGGCACTGAGCCTGATATCTTCTGGGTCTATATTCGTAACTTTCTTTTCCTTCGTCGATAAAGAAAAGCTTTGAAAATGACTAGTCAGATTGTCACCTCTACCAAAGTTACCTAGTTCATCCATTAAAGAAAACTGCGAGCGACAATGATACACACTAGATCAAAGAGGAGTCTGAGAACAATTTCACAACACAATCGGAAGCAGATTAGATCAAAGAGGAATCATCATATGAGATAATCGCCGGAATCGGCTGCTCCCAAAAGGAGAATTAGTTGTATCCTTACCCTGATTTGATCTTATTTGAAAATGTGAATATGGAAACAATTAATGCATATATTTAAAACGTTTCCAGAAAAGGTATGCATTAATTGCTCCTATAATTTTTTACTACTATTTTTAGTAAATGGTTATCCTCATTATATATATATATATATATATATATATATATATAGATTGTTTTTGCATGGGATTAATTTAGAATTGCATGAATTATTATGCATGTTAATTAAATATTGCATTTGCATAGATTAATTTAGAATTGCATAAATATTTAAAACTCCTCGTTAAAAAATACTAAGTTTGAGAAGGGATTTTAAATTAAAGTTAATTGTAAAATTCCTAATATCTCCATTTATAATTTGTCGGTAAATCAATTAATTGAAGTATGAGCTTCCCCACGGATGACATCACTAAAATTAATTGTAGGGGATTACCAGGACGAATTTCTAAAATTAGACGGTTAAAGGAAATCTTATGAGAGAGTACGGGCCTCCACATGGGGGACGTATAAATCGATTTTGACGACCTTAGGATCGAAAAATGGGATTAAATAAGAATGCAATTTAATTTATAAATTCCCCGCGGGTCCCTGAATTTTATTGCATGGCCAAACGGAGACCGACTATTAATTTCGTTCGTCATGAATTTGGTTTTGACTTATGGAAATTAATGGGTTCTTGAAAAACCCTTCTCTTACGAATGTTGAGTATGTAGGGCGGCCCACGTAGCATGCATTATTTACGGTGTGTAGAGATGTCAGTGAATTTAAGTTAATGTTGTTTTGAGGATATCAATGTTAGCAGTTAAATTCAATAGTGTTTAATCTGTAAAATTATTTTCATGATTCTCAGGCTGCATTCATCTTGTCGTTCAATTCGTTGTCTGTCATTCTAAAAGAAAATTATCTTACTAGTCCTAATTACATTGATTGGAAGAGGAACTTAGACATAGTGTTGACTGCTGAGGGCTATAAGTTTGTCATCAATGAGGCTTGCCCGGTAGAGCCCGCAGCTGATGCTTCTGAGCAGGAGAAAGGGGAGTATGCTCGGTGCAAGAAGGCTGATGAGATGTCAAAGTGTTACATTCTGACTTCTATGTCGAATGTTCTTCAACATCAGCATCAGTCTATGACATTGCTGCAGATATACTTCTCAATCTCAGGAATCTATTCGGACATCAGTCTAGGGCTGCTAGGCAGCTAGGCAGGAAGCCTTGAGTGCTCTGATGAACACGCGCATGACCGAGGGCACACCCATGACGGAGCATGCCCTAAGGGTTATGGCGCAACTCAATGAGCTTGAGGTTATAGATGATCAGTTCCGGTTGAACTACAATATGCACAGATGCATATGGCTCTTCCAGAACTATTGACTGAGCTCCAGTCGGCAGAAGCCTTGTTCACGCAGAACCCTTAAGTGCTAGTTGCCGAGCAGGCTGGACCTTCCAGGCCTCACAAGGGCAGGGAGAGAAAGAAGTCTGCAGGAAAGATGAAGGCACAAGATGCTCCGGTTGCTCTGCGACCGGCACCTCAAACTGTGGTAAAGAAACTTAAAGGAAGATGCCACAAGTGCAACAAGTTGGGACACTAGAAGGTCTACTGCCCTCTCCTCAAGAAAGGTAACTCTCTTATTAATGTCGTTGAAACATGTTTAGCGGTTTTATCTACTAGAACCTGGTGTGTAGATACTGGAGCCACTGATCATGTCTGCAATTTTTTACAGGGGTTCCAGGAAACCAGACGACTTAATGAGAGAGAGATCACCGTCTACATGGACAATGCTACGAAAAAGGCAGCTGTTGCAGTGGGATACGTTGCTTTATATTTTGATAGTAGTATTTTGGTTTTAAGACATTGCCTTTATGTTCTATGTTTTAGAAAGAACCTAGATTCAGTTTCTAAGCTTGTTTTGGATGGTTTTTCATTTACGTTTAATGACTTGGTTATTATTCGTTATGGAAATCGTTTGATTTTGTTCTGGTTCATTAGTTGGCAATTTGTATGTTCTTAAACCAAACCATCCCACAGTGCAACAAACAGAATTGAATAATGTCATGACTAAATCTAATAAGAGGAAGGAGTCTTCACAGATGAATCAAGTATATCTTTGGAACCTTAAACTTGGGCACATCAACCTTAGAAGGATTCAAAAGTTAGTGACCAGTGGACATCTTGGTCCATTGGAAGATCACTATCCAACTTGCTAATCGTGCTTGGAAGGTATAAGATTGTCAAGAGGCCGTTTACGGCAAAGGGGTATAGGAGCCAAGAAGTGCTAGGATTGATTCATTCTGATTTTTGTGGTCCTATGTCGATCCAGGCTAGAGGTGGTTACTAGTATTTTGTCTCATTTATTGATGATTACTCGAGATTTAGGTACATTTACCTGTTGAACCGCAAGTCCGAATGCTTTTAAAAGTTCAAGGAGTATCGGGCAGTTGTGGAGAAGCTTCACGGTAAAAGTATCAAATCACTTCGATTTGATCGAGTTGGCGAATACCTATTTGGAGAGTTCAGGACATACTTATCAGAAGCAGGGATTGAATCCCAATTAACTGCACCCGGCACGCCCCAGCAGAATAGGGTTACAGAGCGAAAAAAATAGGACTCTTATGGAGATGGTTAGGTCGATGATGAGTTATTCAAGGTTACCAGATTCGTTTTGGGGCATGGCGTTGAAACAACATCATACATTCTGAACTTGGTCCATCGAAGTCAGTAGAGACTACTCCTTACGAATTGTGGAAAGGGCGAAAGCTCGGGTTTTCACATATTCGAGTGCAGGGTAGCCCTTCACACGTTTTAGTGCAGGAGGCCGGCAAGATGGAAAAGCATTTGGAAGCACGAGTTTTTGTCGGTTATCCAAAGGAATCAAAATGTGGATAATTTTATAGTCCCGAGGATCAGAAGTTGATCGTTAGTACAAACGCTAGATTCTTGGAAGAAGACTATATTATGAATCATAAGCCCGCGAGTAGACTACTCCTAGAGGAGTTAAGGAGTGAAGTTGATAGTTCCCCCACAAGTGCGCAAGTAGATACATCACATAATACTGCAACATGGCACTCTGAGAGTGTACCAGTGCAGACAGTACCTCGTCGTAGTGGGAGGGTTTCTCATTTTCCCAAATGATCGATAGGTCATGGAGGGTCATTGGACTCAGTTCCAAGAGACCTAGAATCGGACCCAAGGACCTACAACGAGGCACTCCAAGATAAACATGCAGATTCATGGAATGTTTCAATGAAAGCTGAAATGGGGTAAATGGACTCCAATCAGGTCTGGGATCTTGTAGAAACACCCGATGGGATACGACCCATTGGATGCAAGTGGGTATATAAGAGAAAGAAAGGATCGGATGGGAAGGTGGAAACCTTCAAAGCTAGGCTTCTTGCGAAAGGTTATACCCAGAAAGAGAGTATTGATTATGATGAGACCTTTTCTCCAGTAGCTATGCTTAAGTCCATTCAAATTCTTTTGGCTGTAGCCGCTCATATGGATTATGAGGTCTGGCAGATGGATGTCAAGATGACTTTCCTTAACGGTAACCTTCAGGAGGACATCAATATGCAGCAACCAGAGGGATTCATTGCTAATGGACATGAGAGCCTAGTGTGTA